TTGGATATTTCTGAATAAAAAACTTTAAGTTAGCAATTTTTCCAACATGAGAGTTTTCCAAATAAACCATATAAATTGTAACGGGCTTTCGGCAATTCTAAAACATTTTAAAACTATTTATTCATTCAGCTATGTCTCAAAGTGGATTTAAACAATGTCAGTGAATAATAACATCTGATATCGTTGGTTGGGCTGACAATTTTGAGACGATCTACGACACGACACGAAATTAATGAGTTTGTGTTGAGTTTTTCAACCCACCAATTCACCAACCCGTAAACCCGTTTATTAAACGAGTCATATATGAGTTTCTCAAAAAATAAGCGGGTTGAGCTGTCAACCCGTTTATATTTTTAATAAAAAAATATATTTTTTATTTTCAAATTAATTTTTGTATCAAGTATCAATATTTAATAAATATTATATAATAAGTATTATCTATGTTTGTATTAATATTTAGTTTGAATATCTTTTTATAAATGTTTTTAATTCTCATTTGGATAGTTAATACTTAAGTAGTTAAGTGTCTAAAATTTGGATATGTTTGCATCAACCATCAATAATTTATTCATGTTTAATTGTCAATTTTAATTATGGAATTTGACCCACGAACCCGCTAACTTGTTATCCCGTATAAATAAATGGGTTGGCGTGGTCATAAATGAGTTTATGTTCCAAACCCGTTAACCCGTGACCCGCAAACCTGTGACCTGTATATTTAAATGAGTCATGTTTGGGTTGACATATTTTGACCCAGCAATCCGCGACACGTCAACTCGAGCAGGACACGATTGTCAGGCCTAATCGTTGGGTTGAAAGACTTTTGATAAATCATTAGGATACACAGAGTGACTTCAGTTAGGGCTCTGCAAATCCGACCTGTACTCCGCAAACACCGCGCCACAAATTCGGCGTGCAAAGTTTGTTGGCCTAACTCAGCAGGTATGAACAAATTCTCTCCTCTCACAATTGAAGTCTCCCTCTCTTCTTTCTCTCTACAACCCGCTCTCCCTCTTCTTCTTTATCTTCCTTTCTTCCCCCTTTCTTCTTTGCTGGACTCCCTTTAGCCTAATAGATGTTATTAGCATCCGTTGGAGTAGTAAAAGATAATAAATGATTATGAATAATACACATTAAAAGCCAAAATTTCTTATTTATATTATAATAAATTGTATTTAGTTATGAAAACCAAAACGAAAAGGCCTGCTTTTTGATATTTGGAAAAAGTTTATTATTATCTGAATTTTTAACTTTGAGCGAGAATTTCTATAATATAATTCGACACAAACAAATAACAATTTAATTAAGATAAGAATGATTTATCATAATTTTCGAAAATACAATTAAATTTCTGTTTAAAAGAAATAATTAAAGATAAGGTTGTAAATAAGAAGTTTACTATTAATATTTAAGGTTGGGTTTGTGTGTCATACTCACGTGACGACTTATAATAATTCTTAAGTCCGTACAATTACATTTGATGCCTCCCATCTTTTGAATCCTTTTTCACAAAGTCACATACTCATAGAACAAAACTAATAAAACATATCAAATTTAATTTTTTAATTAGAATTCTCAAAATTGAATTTTATAACTAAAATTCTAAAATTGAATTTTATGTATCACGAAATACATAATATGACCTTAACGAGTTTTTATGATGTTTTATGAGGTTTAATGTAAGTATTTATATGTTGTTACTTTGGGACTATAATAGGAGCTTAGTAGGGAGCTTATTGAATTATTGTCAAGCTAAAATTGGTTTCCAACGACTCAATACAATTCTCAGATATTTCGAGGTTATCCTTTTGGGCCGTTTAAACTTGAGACCTCCCCCTATGGGATGCCCTATCTTTATATGGTGCGTGACCACGATAAAAATAAATGTTAAAGTTTTTTTTTTTCTTAAACAAAGATATCGTAATAACTTTTTTTATTTTAATTTGTTTTTTTTATTTTTTTGGTATGTACATTACAAGATCTACCCTGCGAAATTTTAACTATTATACTAATATTAAACTCGTCTTCATAGAATTTTACTATTTAATACTTTTTCTAATAAAGGAAAGATGTTATAAAACTACACTAGCAAGAAACTAGCATGGGAAAATCAATTACAAATTACACAATTTTTCACTATTTAATATTAATCTTATTTTCATTGATTTTTATTTTAAAAGAACATGCAAATTAGCTTTTTTTTTTATTTTTTTTAAATCTAGAAATTTAAGTTTCTTCATTTAATGATGTAACATCAAAAATCCTTGTAAATTTTTTTTCTACTTAGAAGCTCTAATATTTGGATAGGCGGGTTTGGGACACACATTATTAATCTAGCCGAAAGCCCATTACCTTTTCATATTAAACGGCCCAAAATGATAACCTATTTCCCAGTTTTGTTTTGGTTTATGACAACGACATCTACTTGGTGATTGCAAATTTGCATTGTTAAGCCTCTTGATGTCTCGGTATTATAATATCAATATTCAATAGAGGTATGGCTGGACCTAAACCTAGATGTGCATAAAAGTCGGTTTTAACCGAAATCGGTTTTATAAAAGAACAATCCGGTTTTTTTATGAACGGTTTTGGTTATCACCTGACAGGTTTTGTGTAGTATTTTACATTGGAAGGTATAACCGGTTGAGCTAAGAATTACATGCCTCGAAAACAAAAATAATAGAAATTATTGTCTTCAAAATCATACGAACTACGTAAAAACATAAGCGTCGAATTGAAAATATTAGGAATTATAGTCTTCATGAAATATCAACTAAAAGTCGTCCAATCCTTCTTCCAATTCACCCTCATCTACTTCGGCCATTGAAGATGTTATGCGGTGTACAATCTCTTCTACATGAATGTAGTCTTCAATAGCTAGTAAAAGCAGTTCTTGAGCAAAACACAATTTAGTATCATCTTAACACCTTCCAAGTAGTCCTTCAAGCAAATGCATACTTGCATCGATACGGTAGTGAACCATGTCATTTGTTTCAATATGACCCTACCACTAAGAGAAGAAGTTAGTGTGGAAGTCTGGATGGTTAATATATCTCTAGCCATGAATGCTAGAATCGGAAACTTATGATTTTCTCTCCACCAAGCCAACATGTCAAGGTTTTTAAATTTCTCAACGTCAATGTGAGCTAAAACTTTGATGCCATATAATTACATAATTCCCTACTAAGGGATGGAGTTCGATGTTTTTTTTGTAGTGTCTTCCATCAAAGTGTTATATAGTCTTATATTCGTATCCCAAGTCTAGATATGATGTCATCCCCTCCTAAAATGATCAACTATTGGATTTCTTGATTGACCATATAGTATAATGGTGGAAATTTTTTTGAAAAGTTTCACTTAATTTAAAATTTTCCATTTAAATGAAATGTGGTTCGAATTTGACTAGTCCTAAGTTTGAGGCAATTTTTCCCATTAAAGCTCCAACACCACCTACATTAATAGGACTTATGGTGACGGCACAAGCGAAAACAAAAGGCATTTTGCGAAAAATATTTTGAAAACTTGAGTTTCATAATTGTAACAATGTCAAATATATATATATATATATATATATATATATATATATATATATATATATATATATATATATATATATATATATAATTGTGACATAACCTAAATTTTGTGAGAAATCATATTGCGCTAACTTTTCTGAAATAACCTAAATTTTATTTAAAACCTGTTGGAAATATCGAAATAGGGTTATGGAAATCTTGATAACAAAACAGGAATCGTGTAATCACTTTCATTGTTTGATATTTCGATTCTATATGTCTTGGGTATCACGAAATCCAAACTTAGGATAATTCCTGATGCAACAATTATGATTTTAGGCACAAAATCAGAATCAATTTTAGAAGAAGATGAAGAAGGAAGCGTTTCCCGGTTTTCTGTGTTTCAAATGAGTCGTTATTTTCCCGGATTTATCCACTCAATGGATAAATGAGAATAGTTTGAAACACCAGGTAATAAAGTTGTTAAATTCATTACACTAAAACATTATTTTTGAAACACTTGGTAAATCCACACCCCCTAACTTGTATTATAACTAAAACATTATTCTTGAAACATTTGTTAAATCCATTACATTAAAATATATTTGGTGATATAAAATCACCAACAAAACCAACATATTAAGGTAGTAAACACCCGGTAATAAAGTTGTTGCTTCCTATATAAAAAAAAAAAAAAAAAAAAAAAAAAAAAAAAAAAAAAAAAAAAACTTGTATAAAACCTGTTAATGCTTTTAGTAATTGTCAATCCGATTCGGGGATGATAACGGATTTACAAGTATTTCTTTAAAAGCATTTAAATTCTGCTTTTGTCCCAAAAATACTTTTAAACATAATCCAAGTAGAATTTCACCTGCTAACTTTGTCATAGTTAGTCCCTAATGATATTTCATTGCATTGGTGGCAAAAAAAAAAAAAAAGATAACTAGATTTTCTTTTGTTGCTCGAACCATAAATCTATCCAATAAACCTTTAAATTTGTCTTGTATTTCCGCACAAATTTTTATTCCAACTTGCACGGCTAGATTATTAATGTGTGTGACACAACGAGTATGAAAAAAGTGTTATTTGAAAAAAAAAATTACTCGTACTTTTAGTCGTTCGATGGCATTTGTATTGTTTGAAACATTATCGAGTTAAATAGGAAAAAAAAAACCTTTATGTTCTAATTTATATTCCACTATAACATCTTGTAAAAATTACTTAAATTTGCATGAGTATGTGGATAACCAAATAATAATGTTTCAAAAACATTCAAAAAACATCATTATTCTTTTTTTTTTAGTGAGAAAAATACAATTAAAATGAAAATTTTGTACAAAAAATACCAACAAAATACAAATCACCTTTTAGAGTGACCTCAGGTAACCGGTTACCTCAGGTCAACTATTGAACGTGCTTTAATAACCTTCATCCATCAAATTAGGGTTCCATCTTCATCCTTCATCTTCATCTCTTTTGGCTCCTATGGCATCTTCAAGTTCATCAAAATATTCTAAGTCAAATTCGAACATTTCCAAGAGCAGGAGCACAATTGATTATGCTCACCCTTATCACTGTGAGAAGCCTTCGCAAGTTTGGACCTCAACTACGGCTAATAATCCGGGTAGAAAGTTCAAAGTATGTTGTAACTCACTAGTAAGTGGTTCTAACATCTATCATCTAGTTTTCCTTCATACTTAATTTATTATGTGAATTTTATTATGTATATTGAAGGATAAGAAGAAGAAGAAATGTGATTTCTGGGAATGTGTCGATCAAGATGAAGAACTAATAAAAGAAGACAACACTGAAGTCAAGATATCAATATTGGAAAATAATTTTTGGACACATAAGGTGAAGGCAGGTAAAGAATCAATGAGTTTCAGAAAAGATTTGGATAAATTAACTAGGAAATATAGAAATCTTAAATGTTGTATGTTGTTGTTCTTTGTTATGTTTTTTATGTATGTTATGTTGAAATGAAATGAAAATTGTAATGTAATGACTTTGGTAATATATTTAGAAAGTTTGGTTAATTAAAAGTCTTGTATTGGAATTGATTCAATGTTTTATGGAAATTAATTCAGTTTTGATAAAGGAATGGAATGGAATTATTGATTACTGCTTAATTATTGATTACTGCTTAATATTGATTGCTCATACTGGAATGGAATCAGTGATTCCTGAAATGGAATGGAATTATTGATTACTACTTAATATTGATTCTTCACACATGAATGGAATTAATGATTCCTGATTAATTGTCATTGTGTTTAATGAAATGGAATTAATGATTCCTGGTTAATATTGATTATTTACACAGGAATGGAATAAGTGATTCCTGAAATGAAATGGAATTATTGAATATTGCTTTATATTGATTCTTCACACATGAATGGAATTAATGATTCCTAATTAATAGTCATTGTGTTTATTGAAATGGAATTAATGATTTTTGGTTTATATATTGAGAAAAAAATTTAGACCACATATTGGAATGCCCTTGTCCCTGTCCTTGTCCATAAATATTAACCACATGCATTACCAAACCACATACATTATCAAAGTGGGACCACATACATTAAATATAAACAAGTTATCAAAAGACACATTACACCTAACCAAAAGATGTCCTGCACTAAACCACACTCATCAGTTTTTGACTTAAATGTAAACAAGACATCAAAAGTTGTGCCCAACAAAAGATTCCCTACCAAAAGATTTCCTGCACTAAAGCTAACAAAATATCACAAAGGCAAAAGCTAACAAAAGATGCCCTTCACAAAAGTCGTCCCCATTACTGCTCCTAGAGTGTGAGAGGATTTTCAAGACTTCCCCCTATATCATCTTTGGTCACCACTTTCCTCCTCAACCTAAGTTTTGTGTTCCTCTGAGAAGGACCACACTTTCTCCTTTTCAAAGATGGAGCAACCAAATGATGGTTTCCAAGATTCACCACTTCTTCATCAACCACTTGTTTAACCTCCACCTCTAAATCATCCTCTGAATCTCTTCCAACTTCTTTCTCTGAATCACCTCCAACCTCCTCCTCTAAATCAACTCCAACATCCTCAACTTCCCCATGGCTTTGTCCCTGTCCTTCTCCTTGTCCTTGCCCTTGACCCTGTCCCTCACCTTCAAATAGCTCATGGTAATCAAAGAGATCTGAATCATCTACTGCATTAAGCTGTTTCAGAGGACATTTCCTCTTGTTATGACCTTGTTGGGAATATAAACTACATTTAGAAGTGGTCCCAACTTTGCTAACAGTGTGTCTGTCACTTCTTTCTGAAATGCATTTCTTCCTGTTTATCTTTGGTCTGCCAGACATTCTTCTACGCTTTTCTGGTAAGATGGTATTCATATCATTTGTTGGCCACATTTCATGTCCATTTATTGGCTTAATATTATACATGTAGCAGCTTCCAAACATTTGTGTTGTATACCAATTTGCTACATACCCCTCTATATTCCTATTCAAGCACAAGATTGCAGAAATAGCATGGACACATGGTATACCTGTCTGCTGCCATGATCTACATCCACAGGTTCTTTTATGTAAGTCAACTTCATACACCACATCCAACCATCTACTCTCATATTGATGAAAACCACTTGGAATTACTCCCCAAAACCTATTATGAAATGTAACATATAAGTTAGTATATATATATATATATATATATATATATATATATATACCTCTGTATTTTCTTCATGTCGTCAATCTTCCTTCTAATTGAGGGACAAATCTCCAAGTTCCACTTCAGTCCCTTCCTTTTCTGAGTAAACATCCTTTCCAGGACATACACTCTAATATCTTCCAACATTGCTATTATTGGTTTTTTTTTCTAGCTTCCACAATAATTGCATTAAATGACTCTGATACACCATTTTCAATGGCATCACTACCACTATCTTCCCTAAAAAATGCCCTAGACCATGTGTTTGGTTTTTTTTCCATCATGTGTTCATAGGCAGTACTGTCAATCAGTTTGATCTCCTTCATGATATCTTCAAATTTTGTGGTTGTTGTGGCCTTGGCAACAAACCAGAAAAGTTTTCTGTATTCAGCTCCTGAGAATTTTTTATTGAAGTTGGCATAAACATGCCTAGCACATTGTCTATGCTCACATTCTGACACTCTTTCCTTAACTACTTCAATCAGTCCCTATTAAGTAACATTTTGATGTCATTATATATTAAAAATAAAATAGAAATAGTGTATTTAAAAAATAGTTGAGTACCTTGTGTTGGTCAGAGATGATGGTTAGTCCTCTACCTTATCCCATATCAATGTCTTCAAGTAGTAGATCCAAAAACCATTTCCAATTTGACTTATTTTCGACTGGTACAACAGCCCAGGCTAGAGGATACATTTGGTTATTAGCATCCCTACCAACAGCTGAAAGTACCTCACCTCTACAAAGTCCCTTTAAAAAACATCCATCTACACCAATCACTCTTCTACACCCCTCAATCCAACCATCCTTCACAGCCTTCAAGCAAATATACATCTTAAAAAAATGGACTGCAGAATCAGGCATGATATCCACATCCAATTTCACTGTGGAACCTGGATTAGTCCTCAATAACTCCAAACCATAACTCCTAAGATTTCCATAGTGTGCCACCAAGCTCCTTTCTATCTCATCTATTGCAAATTTTTTGGCATTTCTACACTGACCAAAACTAACTTTTAGATTAAAATCTCTAAGGACTACTACTGCCATTTTCCTGTAACTAATTCTTTGATTATTCTATTATGGTTTCTATTAAATGTTTTCTAATCCAACTATATGTGACCATTGAACCTATATTGAAGGCCCTACTACAATTATGTTCAGAGATTAAGGACTTAATCTGAAATGATCTTTCTTTACTCATCCAAGCTGCCCACAACCTAAAAGGGCATTTAGACTTTCCCTATAAATAAAGGGGTTTATGGCCAAAATTAATGATGATTTTTTTCGCAAATCCTAACCGAAAATCAAAAGCACTCTCCTGTTCTTGAAACCCCCACAAAATCTTGATCGGCACGACACATCCCCATAGTAGTATGGCGTGTCTCGCTGCAGATCCATTTTGTGCTCCGCGTTCAAGGTTCGCCTATTCGAGTATTGTCGAATGTTGGTAATATGTTCCTTGGGTGGGACTATGAAATATGAGCTCAATGTTGGGCTCTTAGAAATCTTTCTCCATCAAGATCAAAAGACGTTTACAAAGGACTATCAGGGTATGTATTTCTTGAGTCTTCTCAACGATGTGGAACTTACGAATCTCAAGTGTAACTTGAGTCGGGGACCATGTGTTTTTGTATGGTTGATTCACCATCTGATCAGTGATCCGTGGCGATCCTGTCATTGAATTTGAGATGAACATAATTTGAGATTAACATGCCATTGATAGTCAATGAATCTCAAAGATCTAGGAATTTCTTGGTGATCGAAATTGGCAAAGAATTTTTCCTACCTAAATAACTTTATGGTGTGTTTACGACATCCCTTTACATATTATGAAGCCAAATATGGATCCTAGCTATCTAAAAAAATTTATTTAGGGTGATTATTGTAACAACCCAAAAATTCAAGGTAAAAAATTCATTTTTTTAATATAATTAAAACACTATAATACTTTGTTCATGACATTGAAAAATATGTCAAATAAAATAAATATCAGAGTCTAATCCTAAAGATCACATATTGCGAAAACACGAGTGTATGCGCTGTGATTGTCCCGAGCTCTTTCATTTGAAAAATGGAATACCTAAAACAGAACAACAAACCATGAGCACAAATCTTAGTGAGTTCCCCAAATACCACATACCATACATATCAAAGGATCCATACATGACATACATAACTATGAGCTATACATATCATTCATGTATCATAATCAATAAAGGTGCTAGGTGTCACACATAGTTTTACCATTATGCCAATAGCCACCTTGTAGTCTTTCTTGCCAGGCCAAGGGCCACAACCCTAGATCTTACAGACAAGTTCCAGGAGCCACCTTCGGGTCTTCGACGCAAGCATCACAAAGACAACTAGCATATATTCTATAATTACTTAACTAATAATTGCTAGAGTTCAGACTATGGTCTTTTCATACAGTGTGCCAAGGGCTAACCCATGGGTCTTCGTATAATACATAAACCAAATGGGCTGGCATCGGTGCCTTCGACCCATACAAACAGTGAGGAGACTCACCTCGAATGCTGAATCTCACTACATGAAACCCTAGCTGCTGACTTGACAATTTCCCAAACTAGCAATACCCAAACAACATCCAATTAGCAACTGAAATCCAAACCATGATCCATAATCCAAACTTAGGGTAAATGACCATTTTACCCCAGGCCCATCAAGACTCATAACCAAGGCCCACGCCTAAAACCAATAAGGCCCAAAACTATAAGATCTATAAAAGCCCACTAATGGCCCAATTTTCCAAATTGTGCCCAATCCTATATGGGTCTTATCCTAAGCTCATATTTTCCTCGAATATAATTCAGCTTACCTCAAACACCCATTGGGACAAACTTGATCAAAAGCATAAGTCAAAGGTCAAAGTTAACACCAAAGTCAACGGTCTAGGTGACCCAACTCGCCGAGTTGGTCCCTCAACTCTTCGAGTTCTCATCAAACCGTAAAATCGCAAAGAATCGATCTAACTCGCTGAGTCCCCTTCAACTCGTCAAGTTTTCCCCTCATTTTCATCAGAATCGGGAGAATCCCAAACCAAATCGTCGATTTCTCCTATGAACTCGTTGAGTTCTTCAATCAACATACCCACTTAATCTATTAAGCCAATAAATCATCAAGACAAGGCTTTAAATTGCTGATCTGATCCCTTAAGGCTGTATTGATGAGTAAAGTCTCCAAGTTTACTCTTATGCAAGGCTAAAAGAAGCTCAAAAGCTCAAGATAAGCTAGAAGAAAGGATTAATGGATGCATGGAGCCCTTAAGACCTTAAAGTTGGCACCTTTATGCCAAAAGAGCTCCCTAGGACGCTGTATCTAAAAGGGTTTGTCCAAATGGGATATCCAATTCCCAAAAACCACTCAATTTGGATCAAACCATGCAAAAGAACCCTAAAAAGGAGATCTATGAATTCATAGAGCAAGGGTGAGATTTTTTACAACAAGGTGTCGAAAATGAAGCAAGGATTCGAGATCTAGCAGCTCCTTCTTGTAACATTAACTCTCAACAAGCTTCCCTTCCTTCCAATGGCTTCAAACACACCACCAAAGCACTCAAAATGGCTCACAACACTAAAAAATGCCTTAGGGTTTCGAGTTTAGGGTTTAGGAAAATGGTGGTTAGAAATGAGGCCAAAATATGGGGTTTAAGTTGTTTAAATAGGGTGCAAAACCCTGAAATTAGGGTTTCCTAAACCACGTCCAACTCGTCGAGTTGGTCTTCAAAAATACGTGTGACCAACACTTCCAACATGTCGAGTTTCTTCCCCCACACTCGATGAGTTGCCCTTTAGAAATGAGGTTTTATTTCAATAATTGACCTTCTACATTTCGGATGTTACAACTCTCCCGTACTTAAATTAGATTTTGTCCTCAAAATCGCTCCTTATTAACACTCATATTGAAAAATCAAGCTGATGATCATGATCAGAAATTCTGCGCATATAAATAACCTTCCCAAGGTAACTGAAACTTTTATCCCGAAAATCACACCCAAACCTTCTAAGACCCGAAATCTACAATGACCTGACTTCCCGACAGATCACTAACTAGTGAATGCTACAAGCCACCCTGTAGTCTTACACCACTTCCACTAACTGCTAACTAGTGAATGGTACGGGCCACCCCGCAGTCTTACAACAATTCCAGTAACTGCTAACTAGTGAATGCTACGGGTCACCATGCAGTCTTACAACACTTCCACTAACTGCTAACTAGTGAATGCTACGAGCCACCCTGCAGTCTTACAACATTTCCACTAACTGCTAACTAGTGAATGCTATGGGCCACCGTGCAGTCATATAACACTTCCACTATCAATAACTGTAGCCCAAAGCCTTACCACTAATCTAACAATCTGAATGCTGCCCGGGTTCAAGCACACACATAACCAAGCTCCTAAACCGAACTCGAATCATGACTGGAACCCCACCCTGGGTTCCCCCTCCCGAAGCCTACTAGATGACACCATGAAAATGCAAACCTAATGTTGGAAAGTTTCCCGAACTTCCAACTCACGCAATCCTCAATCCGGACAACTACTTCGCCGCCATCCTCCCCCGGGGGATGCGAAACTCACCCTATTTCCATGCCTGCTTCTGATCCTGAATACCTACGCAGTCCCCCCCCACTTATATTTAACTAAGTCTTCATAATACATGAGAATTGAAGGATTCCCAATCCTTTTTACCCTCTAATAAGCATATTGCTGACAACCTGCGCTTACCCGTCCTAGTGTTCCATCACTAGCCAATCCCCACAAGACCATAAAACTTCAACAAACCAGATGAATACTTCCCGAATCCTAGCAAAACTTACAACCCCAAACACCTTGAAATGATACCATACTCAAATCTTGAACTCCAAGTAGCCGACGCTTAGTGCAAAACCTCAGCAATATACGACTTCTCTCGACGATTCGAAAAGCCAACCCAAGCACAAACACTGAACCCACCGAAACCTGATGATGTTGGATAACCACCCCATTGAAACATGACCGCCGACCTTCCACATAATACCCCTGAACCAATTATCGAGCACATTCCAAGATAACGCTGAACACTCCAAACCCGCAAAAAGGAAAACAACCTTTCACTAACCACTAATAATTCACGTCATGCAGATGGCATATGACATTACTTGAAGATATAACCCAAACATAATCAAAGAAATAAACCACAGATACACCTACCCAAATTGATACAAGATAACAACCACAAAATACAGATAGAAGAAAAAAAGAAGCAAAAGATACATAGCCGCAACATCGCCTGATAGAGTCCTAACCCCTCTTGTGTGAAACTGCAAAGCTCAACTCCTCTCCGCTTGGGCTCTTGGTCTACCATCTCGTCCATTGGTGATCCTCAAAGTATCCAGAGCAGGTGCACTCACTGCTCCTCCATAGAACATCAGATAGTCGGCCTTCTTGTGTCCCACCTGATCGCAATGGAAACATTACGGGCTTGCCCCATGAGAACAATCCTTGCTTATGTGACCAAACCTGCCACACTTGTTGCAGCCCAAAAACCCCTGGAATGACATACTTCGTAGTGCAGATTCCGACACCATATGCACTGAGTCTGGCCCTACTGACCTCTCGAGTGTTGGTCAGAAGTCTTGGGTCTCTTCCAGGGACCTTCCAACATATGTACCTGATCTGACCCCCTCTTCCCAAATTGCTCCAAATCAATCTCCCGCTCTCGGGCCCTAGAGATCATATCATTTAGGGTCTCACAACCTGAAATACTCACAATCTCCCTGATATCACCCCACAACATATCTTGATACCTCACTTTCTTCATCTCCTCATGTGCTGTA